ACCATTGAGTCGCAAGCTCGTTGCCAAGTCGGTTGCTAACAGGTACATTTACAGTGGTAGAGGGGCGCGCACCCGTTTCTGCTCTTTTGTCTCTGATGATGGATTCAAGTAGGAATCCGAAACGTCAGGCTAATAAAGCTTTTGTCCCGGCGATCGTGTCTCCTTCTTCAAGCCCACCGATCCTTTTTGCGGAACTCATTTGCCTCGTTATGCCTTGGGGCTCAATCTAGAACTCCACCAGCAGTCGCACAGCGGTCAGTAATGTAGGCAGTAAATTATACTTATTTATAAAAAGGATTCCATTGCAACTGTCTAGGAAAAAGATTATGCGTCTCGAGCTGGAAAAAAAATTGGACCGAATAAAGAATGGGACGGTCGAAATGAGCCTAGAGATCCCCATGTAAATGAAGGTGACCAAAGCTCCCTTCCGAAATCGACGACTTCCCATTTACAGTGAATGACCGATCTCATGAAATGTTGGCCGGAGTTCTGAAATGCCTTTTCGATTAGATAACATTACTTAGGTGGGGTTGTAATAAAGATTATAATTCGGCATAATCCTAAAAAAATCAGACTCGCCGGGATGTCAGCTTTGGAGTGTGCTTCTTTCCTACCTCCTGCAGAAACCACACTCGGTACAAGTGACTACCTATGTAGCATGTATTTTTGAAACTGATTATTGAGGGTTATATGAATACAGACGTATTTTAAAGAAAGTACGCTCGAAAATATGCTTTCGTGTACTCGCTGGGTAAAAAATCTGATTGTTTTTATATCTTATGCACGAAGTAAGTGTTTATTTCTAATTAGGAGGTTTTTTAAGACCGTGAAATGTGCATTAATAGGGCATCGTACCTGTCCGTTCAACAATGCTCCTCATGAAATGTACAACGTGGTCCGCATCCATTGCAAAATCTTATGAACTCCATATTGTATCTTCTTAAAGACCTAGGGAATATATGATTTTCGTAATGCGGAAAGCATGCACCTTGTAGACTGAAATCGCTAAACGCTAATGCAACGACCGAACCGTCTCAAAATTATTCGGGAATTTAAAACTTACAAAAACCTAAATATAACCTTTTTTGGGTACAAAATGTGTAGACAGTATGACTTGCTACCAAATGAGTAAACGAAAGCGTATTTTTACGCATGTTTTCTATAAAATATATTTGAATTAATATGACCCTCGAAAATGAAGGTGGAAAATGCATGACACATAAGTAGGCACTTTTGCCCAGTGTGATTTCTGCAAGAGATAGAAAAGAAGAGCATCCCAAAGCTGACATCCAGGCGAGTCTGAATTATTTTAGGATTATGCCGAATGATAATCGGTATTACAACCGCACATAAGTAATCCTTCCTAATCGAAACCGCATTTTAGAACCTCGGCCAACATTGCATGAGGTCGGTCTCGCATAAATTTTCGCACAGTTTGAATTCAGTGAGAACATTCGCTGGCTTCTATTCCACATCCTTTTATTTTTAGACATTGCTGTTATTGCTACTTCTAATGGGCCACATACGATGTGAGTTACAATTCTGTGATCCGGAAGTATTATTCGAGCATTATGAATACAATCCCTGTATCGCCGGACGGTCGGTAAGTTGAAAGAATTGTTCATAAGATTTTATCCATGGAAACACTGCTGCTATAAATTGATAAATAACGTTGACATTCTTTTAACATATGCATTTCTAACGGGTGCTACGATCACTGATAATGTAATCGGAATTGTTAATTACTAGCCGGTCTCTGTAGAACTGACCGTTGTCATGACAAAGAGTAAGGAGGTTGGGAGCGGAATGAACCCTCAAATGACATCAAGGTTTGGGGACAAAGAGTGGAGAACTGTCTTTGTTTACTTAGGTAAACTGAGTTTGGATGAACTCCACAGGCTGGGAAACCAACTCCCAGAATGTCTTCTTTAGAACCAAACGCACTAGCATATTTTTTAAAAAATTGAAAGGATTGAAGAATGCTGACGCATACGCAAGGCAGCTTCTGTCCAAGGGTTAACGAAACCGTACGTTCAAACTCCTCAACCCGAGTAGGTTGATCGTCCGACAACGTGGTCACTTACTCACGTAGGTCGAGATCGGGGTTATGCAGGAGGCGTGGGCCTCGCGCGCATCGGCCTGTCCTTATTGCAGAATTGGTGCGGGCATTTCTGTCTTGCATCAGGACTGCGGGATTTACCGACCACGCATTCAGTTGCATGGCGAGTAGTGTTCGATGCTCAAGGGGTTGTTTGTGCACGGGAATACGGAGTCCCGTACCACAGGTTGTCTGGCCCTAAATTTCGGGGGTCGATGTTAAGGTTGGAGTGGTTAGGATTGATGTCAAAGCTAGGAATACGATCCCGGAATTATTTTTCACTATTATCACACAAAGAAACGGAAGTCCTAAAGAGCCCGAAAGTCACCAAAAAAAAAAACAAATTCTCCTGCAGACGAAGGCGGCTTAACTGCAACTTTTAACACAGCTGACTATAATGAGAGGACGCTGTCGCTATTAGGAGACGGCTCAAAATATGAGCGTCTTTTCACGGACCTCACAAAGTCACAGCCTACATCTGTTTATAAAGTGCTGAAGTGTCTTACAGGAACGAAACAACTCTCAGGAGATATTGTAAAGCGTCTGAGGCAATCTAAACCAATCATCGTCAAGGCCTTTGGACTGCCCAAAGATCAAAAACTTGAAAACCAACTGCGACCAATGGCACATTTATAAGCATCTATTCCATTAACTCCATCCACTTACGAGGGATTGTGAAGCTTTCATGCAGTTTCTAGACAAACTGAGGGGAGAAACGATGTCCGCTGAGGAGACAATGGTATCAGTTGATGTCGTTTCTTTGCTGACATTCATACTACTAGATTTAGCAATGCATTGCACTGATGAACACGGTTTTTTTCCCGCAGCTGCCTCACATGGACTCATAGGCGTTTAGATATTAGTCGATTACGCCGTCCTGCTGAGATACAGGTACTGGCAAAAAATTAAAGAGACAGGAACGGTCATTTCTGGCCTACTCAACCTAAAGTCTGCAGGCGTCTAGGTTCTAACCCGAAATCTTTGGCCATCGAGCGTCTAAAAGTCCAATGCTCTACCAGTGAACAATAGTTCCGTTGTCCACTCGACTGTGCTCAGAAATATTAACTACGGTAAGAGGGCGTTCAGCGACCAGGTTACGGGACCTGCCCGTCTCGGTTGTGCCTTAGGGCTCAGTTTAAAGGCCTCGCAGACTGTCGCAAAGTAAGTAGCACTGTCTGCCGATAAGGCGGTATCTACGAAGAGGACAGTAACAGGATTGACTCGACCACCAAAGAACACGAGTTTAAACATCGGGTTGAATACACTTGGGATTTTACGGACAGCTAAAGACAGCTAATAGGCCAGAAATGACCACCTAGTTCCCCTTTTCCTCGTTAGCACCACCATCTCAGCACAGCTCTTGATCGTTCTGCCACTGTCAGGAGACGTATGTATTCCTTAACCTCATCGGTGATCGTCTTTCTGCCATCTACAGTAGGTGGGCTAACTCGTGAAATGTCAATGGAAATTCCGAAATGCGTTTTCGTTTCGAAAAGATTGCTTAAGTAGGGTTGTGTAATAATTCAGGGTTCTATAATAATTCAGTTAACTTGAGTTGCCGGCTTTCGAACGAACTTCTTTTTGGCCGCGTGAAAAAACTCTACTGTGTTAAAAATGACTACTTAAGGAGCGCGAATTTTCTCATTGATTTTCGATGCCCTTAAAAATCCAATTATACGTCATGAAAAATATGCACAAAAATATTCATTGTTTTGCTCACTCGGCAGGAAGTTACATCTTTTCCCAATTTTATTCTTGAAAGAAGAGTAAAATTCGGTTTTAAAAAAGTTTTCCGTTCGCGAATAATTTTAAAACCGACATGCCGCTGCACTTGCATTCATGGTTCCCAAACTACAAGCTGTATGTTTTCCGCGTACGGAAAACCATACATTTCCCTATGATATTAAAAGGAGACCATATAGGGTTCTTTGAATTTAGGAATAGGTTAGAGTCAAATTGTTTACTATACAAGGCACAGTGGTAAATGCTAAGCCATGACGATTTATGGGCGGCCATTTCACGGTATTAAAAAATCTTACGATTATAAACTTTTTTAAAGCCAAATTTTACTCTTCCTTCAAGAGTCAAATTGGGATAAGACGTGATTTCCTGCCGAATGAGCAAAAGAATGAATATTTTATGTGCCCGTTTTCCATGAAATATAATTGAATTTTTAAGAGAATCGAAAATCCATGAGAAAATGCATGCTACTTAAGTAGTCATTTTTATTGAGTATAGTTTTTGCACTCAGTTAAAACGAAGTTCGTTCGAAAGCTGGCACCCTGTGGTAACGGAATTATTATAGAAGTATGCTGCATGATGATTAGTTTTACAACCTTACTTAGTTACTCTTTACGAAACGAAAACGCATTTCGGAATTTCGGTTGACATTTCATGAGTTAGACCACTCACTGTATATATAGTATAAGTAAAAATATCTACGTATGTCCAACACAAATAAATGATATAATCTTTAAAGGTGTAGAAAACTATATACCGTAATACGAATATAGTGTAACCAATGTCATGAAAATGAAGGCATTGGTACGCGATATGATAGATTCCGTTTAATGTATGAAGTTTAAATGTCGAGTCAAATTTATCGTCCCAGCCGGAATAATGGGGGAAATATTTTTTGTAACTTACTAACAAAACCAACCTGGGATGCAAATCCCTAGGCGCCTCCCCTTGTTACGCATTCCTGACAAATATTTTGCTTCAAGCCCTCCTGTTCCCTGCACTTACAAGTCATGCCTTCAGGCTTCGCCAATCTGAACAGAGATTTTCCTTCGGTTCCCAGTTTTCTACCGAGGCTTGTATTCGTCAGTGCACTAAAATAATGGAAAGATGCGCGGTTTTCGTCGAGAACAAGGCGTGTTTCTGCGGTCGGCGTCCTCAGGGGATGTACGACGACTTTTATGGCTGCTCCGACGGCTTAATTAGCTTTAACTGCTTTCCCAGGACCGAAGAACACATAAGCTTGAAGGTGAGTCCGTAATGTCTAGTTAGATTCTAGCGTCAGCACTAGGCCTTGTTCAATGCCGTGATATAGACAGATAGGCAAGTTTGCGTGAGAGGTACAGTGATTGACCGATCTCAGGAAATGTCGGCTGAAGTTCTCAAATGCGTTTTCGATTAGGAAGCATTACATAGGTGGGGTTGGAATACTGATTACCATGCGGCACAATCATGTTGCATTTCGGACTCGGCAGAATTCAACTTTTCAATGCAATTTTTTTCAATTTCCTTTAGAAACCTACGTGGTAAAAAATGACTACTTGAGTAGCGTGAATTGTCTCACTGATTTTCGATGGTCTAATTAAGTCAAATGTATTTCATAAAAAAACATGGACAAAAATGCTATCTTTCACCCACTTGATACAGAATCAAGTCATCTTTATATTGTATACTTGAAGAAACGGGATAGTTAGAGTTAAAAAGTTTTCTGCTTGTCAAATAATTTGGAACCTGATCATTCGCTGCACTGGCGCCTAGTGATTTCAGTCTACAAGGTGCATGCCTTCCGCGTAAAGAAAATCACATATTACTCTACGCCTTTAGAAAGATATCATACAGATTCCATAAAGTTTTGCAATGGATGCGGACTGTGTTGTAAATTTCATGAGGAGCAGTAGCAAACGTACGAGTACGATGCCGTATGAGTGGACATTGCACTGTCTTAAAAAATGTCATAATTAAAAACTTATTTAAAACCTATTTATGATCCTTCTTCGAGTATAAAGTATGAAGATGACGTGATCCGCTATCAGAAGACTGAAGGAAAACGTATTTTCGTCCGTGATTTCTCCAAACTATATTTGAATTTGCATGACCATCGAAAATCAGTGAGAAAAATGCATACTACTTAAGTAGTCATTTTTTACAACGTAGGTTTCTACAGGAGACTAAAATGCAGTGCATTCAAAAGCTGAATCCTGCCGAGTCCGAAATTTTATATGATTATGCTGCATGATAATCAATGTTACAGACCCACCTAAGTAGTCCTTCCTAACCGAAAACGTATTTCACACTTTCAGCCAACATTTCGTGAGATCGTTCAAACACTGTAGGTGCGCTGGATCAAAAGGAAGACCAGACTGGTGCTAGTCCTAAATTAAAACAATTCGTTTATTTATTACTAGCTGTACCCGACCACACGTTGCTGTGGCTCAGTCTGATGAAATGGGAAGGACAGAAAAGAAGGTGCACGTATCTAACATGTTTAATTTCATAATGCTTGTGGATATTCAGTGTTTTATGTCACTGCGTTGTCTGTGCAGACATAAAAATTGACTGGCTTGCCAACTCTGGAGCACGCAACATACAATTGACCGTGTGAGAAACAGTCCATTTTTAGATCCAAACCACCCAATTCTAAAGATCGGCCCTGAGCTTTGTGGATCGTGATTGCCAACGCCAATCGAACTGGGAATTGCGGTCGCCTAAATTGAAATGGCATATCAGTCAAAGTCTGTGGAATGCGACGAATTAGGACATGTTCACCTTTGCAGGGTCCTGTAAAAATATTGGCTGCCATGACATTGCTCATTATTTTTCTTATTGCAAGTCGCGTGGCTTTGCAATACCTCAGCTGGTTGATATTTCGCAGCATGATAATCGGCACGTCGACTTTCGATTGCAGTACGTGCGGTGGCATCCCTGGCAGATCAAGTGAATTAAAAAATTCTGTTGAATAAGTAATTGCCTCGTCCGCTTCCACAAGAGTGTCGACGAACGTCTCTGTGATTGCCGTGCTTTGAATGTGTCCGAGCGGATGGCGGTCAAGTTGCGACAGAGACCGCTGGCCGTGGCGAGGGCGGGGGAGAGGGGGTGGTGTTAACTGCATCCAGTCACGACCGAGAATCCCATAGGAAGAGGCGACAGCCCCAGTATGTGGGCTGTGGGACAAGCTCAAGTAACGTCCAAGAGTTGCAAGTTTTTTGTCTCAGGAGTGGTTTGCCTAGCAGGCCAAATTCCATCGGCCCAGGGGGTGGGGGGGGGAGGGGACATGTTTAAGTGTCTGCTTCCGAAGATTACTGACGGTGAGATGACAAGAAAGGATCCCACACAAAGAAATCTTGAAAAGGGCCGGCGTCTTCAGTAGCTATGCCATGATGAGGCAGATAAAACTGCAGTGGAGCGGCCATATTGTGAGGATAGAAGACGAGCGTCTGCAGCTACGTCCATACGGTTGCTCACAGACATGGGGGATGAATGTATTGCGAAACATACGCACTACAGATATCACTCAAGGGCCCAAAAATTAACCCGGAAACCTAGAAGATTCTCGCCTAAGAACAGCGGGCGTGACGTCTCGTCTCACCAAGCTCTACCCTCACCGCCCCCATCACCAGCAATGCGGACTCGCTTCGAACTGGATCTAACTGAAATCGCAGCTTCACGTCACGCAAAGACCTGGTTGCTCAACTAAGAATTCATAACACTGAGACCAGTGAATCAGTGTTCGGGCCCCCGATATACATTCACCTCATCGCACACAGCTGCCCGCATTGCTAACACACAACGTGGGCCTACTCGGCCACATCCACCGTTATGCAAATTGGAGGCAAACAGCCGCGGAACAAATCCCAACATCAGGCATCTTCTCACTAGCCCATTTGACACGCACGGACCCATCCCACATCACCTGCTACAAGCCCAGATTAAGCGCCTCTGAAATAGATGGAAAGCATGGTCTTCGGCCCCTTCTCGTTGTGGCCCCTGTGGCTGCCTAATTTATATGAGATCTAAGCAGCCTATCCCTTTTTGTGAAAACCTGGTGCATCCTGTTTGGTCAGGTCGTGTGTAGCTCTCATAGACAGTCCGTATCCCTCATTGCACCGGATCCTGGCAACAGTTGGTTGACCGGTTTGGACAATCGACTGGTGGACAGGAGAGAGAAGAGAGAGAGAGAGAGTAAGACCGACTCTGACGGCCCGATGACATTCCAGTGTTCTAGAAGGTTGTCAACCGACGGTACAAATCAGACCTTGCCGTAAGACGTCTGTGTGTGTGTGTGTGTGTGTGTTTGTATGCAGTGGTTGACTGGCCGGCTGTGAGTTGGCACCAGTGACACCGTCTTAATGGTAGCTGAGTAGCCAACCTCCCTCGTGCGAAAACGTGGTGTGCTATGCGGGAGCCACATCGTGCGGGGGACGCGTTGACGAACTGTCGGTCTCTGCACCCAATCGCCGCATCATATATTTGAGCGGCTCTGACTGATGCCTGGAAGGGAAAAGTGAGAGTGGGGCCGATCATGGGGACTGCGTCCTCACGGTATTTCGCGCATATTGTACACTATTCCAAACTTTCGCGGTGCGCTAAAAGCCGGGAATTGGAAGGCTACTAACTGATGGGATAACTTTGTCTTCCTCTTAGGACGGGAATCCAGGCTGCATTGGCTACTTCTGAATGTGGTCTCCATGACACTCTCACTTAGGTGGGATCCGAGCCGTCCACCCCTTTATCGTTTTAGTGAAAATCTGGCCTACCTGGCATGCGTGTCACTCATAGACGGGATATTTGTCTCTGTCAGCAACTGCGCCCCATCCAGCCTCCGGCTTCCTGACTCTAGCCAGACACCGGACTCAGCTGGATGAGGCAGGGGAGGGTGTAGCAGGTGCTGTGCAAGTCTGCTATCATTATTAACAGGTTTACGCGCAAGTTAAGCCCCTGTGCCCACCCCTTCTATAGAGCCCACGGTGGACATCATCAGTAAAGACGGCCAAACTACCTCTCCCCTTCTGACTACATCTGATATAAGAAACGCTTTCCGTCCGCTTCATCCCTCCACGCACTTTCTTTCAACTTTTACTGTTTAAGCTTGCTTTGCAACAAAGTATCGCCAGTGTCGTTGGTGGCTCCCAGAAGGTTCTTATAAAGTACCAGGATGTGTATGAGAGAGAACCCAACCTGACGGGAACTGAACTGGAAATGAATCTTCGGCCGGACACAGCTTGGTATCCCCTCGAGCCTGCAGCCACGTCTTTCAACTTCATCACTCCCTTGCCTGGTTATCAGGACGTCGTGTTTCGTTTGAAAGGACAGTCCGGTAATGAGGTAGGTTCTCTCACTAACGTGTATTCACATCTACAGTAAGTGGGCTAACTCATGAAATGTCAACCGAAATTCCCAAATGCGTTTTCTTTTCAAAAGATTGACTAAGAAGGGTTGTAAAACAAGTCATTGTGCAGCATAATTCAACAAATACTGCACTTCAACAGCAATCACCCCCTCTCTCACAAACGCAGCTGTGTCCGTACTCTGTTCCAAAGAGTTGAAACACACTGCAGCACACCAGCCGACAAGAGAGTTGAACGACAATATCTTCATGATCTCTTTCAAACCAATGGATACCCAAGCCACTTCATCAAGCAAAGCAAGCGCCGAGTGAACAGACGACGGCCACAAGAAGAACAACCCGAAGTCTGGAGGGCTATTCCTTACATTAAAGGAGTCTCCGAAGCGGTTTCAAGACTGCTACAACCCGCCAGGGTAGGTATTGCCCATCGACCCCAGGCAACAATTCGTCGCCGTTTGATGCAACCCAAAGACATACTGCCACCCACTGAAAACGCAGCAGTTGTCTATCAAATACGTTGTAAGGATGGAGACTGCAACTACGTTGGGGAAACCGGACGGAAATTGCAGACCCGCCTACATGAGCACAAACTGGCAACACGGAGACTAGACCCAAACTCACAGCTTGCGGCTCACATCGGGGAAACTGGTCACAGTTTTGATTTTCAAGGAGCAGCCGTCATAGGCAGGGGCACCTCAAGGACTGAGCGTCTCACTCTTGAGGCTTGGTACTCAGATGCCAACTCCATCGACAGGCATCTAGACCTTCCTTCGGCCTATAAAGTCCTACGTCACTTCATACACCGTGACGAAGACAAGACAATCACACGGAGCCTAAGAATGCCGAGCAAACACGGCCTGTCGACCACTTCACCCAAAAGGGGAAAGCAAACGCAACCAACCCCAATTGAGGTGACGACACGTATTACAGGAGGCCACCAACATTCACAGGCGACGGCCAGTAGGCCGAGGCAGAGAAGGAAGAAAAAAAATCGATCAGCCCAGGGCCAACTAATACGGCAGTCTATTCAAAAATGCTGATTGATTTTTTCACTTGACGCTTTGATAATGGAGAGCAGCCCCAGCTCTTCGAAACGTCAGCCAGAAAAGTCCCCCGTTCCGGTGAGCAATTAATTCTCCTCAAATAATAATTCAGTTACCTCCAGATGTTGGATTTCGAACGAACTTATATACAGCTGCCTTCAAAAATTATATTCTGTAAAAAATACCGTGAAATGGTCATTCATAAAACGTCATGTGTCTGCGTTTACCAATGTGGCTTGTAAAGTTAACAGAGGGGCTCAAATTCACTGGTAAATCTTATGAACCCCATATGGTCTTCTCATAATATCAAAAAGAAATGTACGATTTTCCGTACGCGGGAAATATGCGGCTAGTAGTTTGGAAACCCTGAATGCAAGTGCAACGGCAGGCCGGATTCACAGGCCGGTGAACACTCTTCCCAACACCCGGGTCAACGCGTCAGATGGTCGAGCAATCATCACGCCAACAACCAACGCACGTGATGAAATTGCAGCAATTATCGAGTCGAATGTCGGCCATCAAGCAATGATCACACCAAGTGTGACAATCCCGGATGAAGGGGGAAGCCGTGAACGTTCATAGGTATGCGGTAGCATGGCTGCTGCATCCTATAAATACCGCAGCCCCTTGTGCAACAACCACCCGTTTCTGCTCTTTTGTCTCTGATGATGGATTCGAGTAGGATTCCGAAACGTCAGGCTAATAAAGCTCGTGTCCCGGCGATCGTGTCTTCTTCTTCAAGACTACTTCCTGGGACTCGGCTCTTCGCTTCTATTGGATTCAAAATTATGCAAACATTAGAAACGTTTTGAAAACCGAATTAATTTCCCCCCCCCTTCGAGTATAAAACTGGAAGAACATGTAATTTTTTACCGAAATGGCAAAGGAATTAATAATTTAATGCAAGTTTTCCATGAAATATATTTAAATATTTAGAAGCATCGAAAATCAACGAGAAAATGCGTGCTGTTTAAGTGATCATTTTTTAGAGAGTACGGCTTTTGCATGCAGCCGAAAAGAAGTTCGTTCGAAAGCTGAAATCCTTCAGTAACCGAATTATTACAGAATTATGCTGCACAAGGATTTGTTCTACAACCCTACTTAATTAATATTTTCGAGAAGAAAGCGCATTTCGGGATTTCGGTTGACATTTCGTGAGTTAGCCCACCAACTGTAATTTGTGTACTTTCTAAAGCTGAGTTGGCTGTATGGAAGTGCCTCGCACAAAACACAGATGCACGTTAATATACGCGAGCAGCGCAACTAGTCGGTTTACGGGGCAAAATATACTACTGATTTCACCGTAACTTTCTTTAAGCACTTTTGAAGGGAGGATTGCCTGTAGACGTTATTATTAGGCTTTAAACTACGAAATCTCACGGATTTACAAATCTGGCTTTTAAAAGTCGATGGAACATCTGGTCATCTAACACTAACCTGTTTGTTTTTAACCTACTTCAAACGGCTTATGTCGGAAAAAAAGATCATTTTTTGAATGTAGGTATTAATTTTCAAAGCCTATGAGGTTAAATTATTCTCCACTGAAATAAAACCAAGCACAGATGCGCAAATTTTGCCTATGAGGGCTATTAACACAGGAAATTGCTCAAATATAGGGTAGCAATTATTTCTGCCTAAATTTATAAACATTTTGCCTGACAAATTTACCTCGAAACATACTCTACACGAAAAAAGGACATTTCCACGGAAGGAACTGGAAGAATGAGCAAAATGCACAACATTTTAGGTGCCTTAAAAGGCACCTTGTCGGTTTCAGTCAACATGTTTCATGAGTTAGATCACATACTGTCAGTTTAACTCAAAGCTCACTACAATACTCAGATCTTCAGCATAGTTCATGACGTCTGATTTGAAAGTTTTACAAATCTCCCAGGCATACTTTTCAAAAACATGCCTTGTTGAAAGGTTGTTTTTCTTGGAATCGAAAAACCCAATGCAATTAATCTGACACGGACTGAAGGCCTACGCAGGAGTTATGAGTGTTTCAGTTAAATAGCCTTTTTGAGAGGTTTTAAATGTCTTTTTTTTCAGATTGCAAAATCAACAGTCCGTGTCTCGATCCACAGGTCGGTCTCGGCCAAAACCGTGTCCTTTGTTTGTCCGCCGGCTGTCTGGGTGGACACATATTTTAACTGCAATCTGTCCGTGGCGATCCCTAATGAGGCCCGCGGAAGGGTAACCTGGGATAAACAATTCGACCAGGAGTTTGCCATTCCAGGCAAGTTTGAAAATGTCCCACTTGTACTTCAATGAATACAGTTAACCCTTGCTATGCCGGGCCGCGACTTTCGCGACACCACTATCGCGAATTTCGTGTGCAAGCACATCTGAATATGTAGCACGGATCTTGCGCTAGTTCGTGGTTTTATCGGGAAAATGGGCTTTTTATTTATGTTTTGTGCAGAGGATTTAATACCTGGAATGCTATTGGCAGATGGCAGACGAACTAATCGACTAGAGCGCGCGGTTAAGTGGCCTGGGTGTTCTTCTTCCCTCGGTGAACGCCCACTGTCACAGTTGATATTCCTGATCACAAGAGACAGGTCAACATCCCCGTGGTTCAATAGTAGAGTGTCCGAAACGAGGAAACGAGGAAGTTTCCGAAACGTCAGTTCGAATACAATATGGTCCATGGATTCGCCCCCTCTTCTTCTTCGGGAGATGATGAACGCGATATATATATATATATATATATATATATATATATATATATATATATCAGGTGCATAATTTCAGAAATTAATCAGTGCAGAACTTGGAGTTAAATCTCCGGGACATGGCTTTTTAAGGTCAGAACCGAAATTTCAATGAACATTTGAGTCGAAGACAATCAACTACTGTGGAATAACCACGTAATGCCCATTCTACAAACAAGTAGTACTCTGATTAGTATGAAATCCATATAGTAAAGGTATTATACCGTACTCCCGACGTAGATACTTGCTAAAAGCCCAGACACGTGTTTCGCCGATATTCTGCCGCTGTGTGACACAGCTGCGAGGGGTTCGGCTCTTCAGTGGGACCCCCAGCGTTCTCTAGCGGTTTCTGGTATATGAACTCCAGAGAATAATCAGGTGGTTATTCCACAGTAGTTGGTTGTCTTCGACTCAAATGTTCATTGAAATTTCGGTTCTGACCCTAAAAAGTCATGTCCCGGAGATTTAACTCCAAGTCCTGCACTGATTAATTTCTGAAATTATTCACCTGATTATTCTCTGGAGTTCATATACCAGAAACCGCTAGAGAAAGCTGGGGGTCCCACTGAAGAGCCGAACCCCTCGCAGCTGTGTCACGCAGCGGCAGAATATCGGCGAAACACGTGTCTGGGCTTTTAGCAAGTATCTAGGTCGGGAGTACGGTATACTACCACTACCATATGGAATTCATACTACTCGTAGTACTACTTGTTTGTAGAATGGGCATTACGTGGTTATTCCACAGTAGTTGATTGTCTTCGACTCAAATGTTCATTGAAATTTCGGTTCTGACCCTAAAAAGTCATGTCCCGGAGATTTAACTCCAAGTCCTGCACTGATTAATTTCTGAAATTATTCACCTGATTATTCTCTGGAGTTCATATACCAGAAACCGCTAGAGAAAGCTGGGGGTCCCACTGAAGAGCCGAACCCCTCGCAGCTGTGTCACGCAACGGCAGAATATCGGCGAAACATGTGTCTGGGCTTTTAGCAAGTATCTAGGTCGGGAGTATGGTATACTACCATATATATATATATATATATATATATATTCACTCAGGAATGGGCGCACACCGATCCATTGGCTTCCCGAAGCAAACAAGCTTCGTATAGGCGATAGGGATCACGAACAGGCAACCACCTACCAGGCCGAAGTCTGCCAAGCTACGATAGCAGAGCGGATAGGACAGAGTCTGGGGGGTAGATTGATACAGCACTGTTTCGGGCTTGTTTGCCTTCATTCAGCCAACCATTACCGTGACCACCAGCTGGGACCGGAATCACAAACATGCGCACAGACGCACCTGGCGCAGCTGGTCCACCACTGGGGTCTACCAGATGGGTCATAAGCACTTCATCGAACCGAAGTTCATCAGTGCCTCGCCACCCGCCATTCTCTGTCGCTGCAGATCGGGTATTTATTCACTCAGGAATGGGCGCACACCGATCCATTGGCTTCCCGAAGCAAACAAGCTTCGTATGGCGATAGGGGTCACGAATAGGCAACCACCTTCGGGAAGCCAATGGATCGGATTGTGGCTGCAATATGTAGATGAATCATTTGTTATCGTTAAAAAGGGCCAATTGGAAGCGCTCCACAACAATATAAACTCGACAATTCCGGGGATTACGTTCACACTCGAAAAGGAAGTCAACAGTAAACTGCCTTTCCCGGATGTTCTCGTACAACGAAAGACTGACGGAGCACTACGTACATCAGTTAACCGTAAAGACACTTACGCCGAAATCATTCTACCTTACGAGAGCAACCAGCCAATTTCTCACAAACGGGGTGTTATGACCCGCCTGGTACGTGAAATTCCCTGGAGCGTGTATGCGTTCGACCCTGGTTCCCAATCAAGGCAGCAGACAAAGAACACACGGCTGGCCACGGAACGTGTATTAGCAAACACGTATCAACGAGTCCATGCAAGTCACGTCTAGCTAAGGGTGACGCATATTTATCACACGCTAGCGTGGTTCGCCGGCACTCGGTCCAATGACCTTCGGGAAGAGGGGAGTAGCCAATGGGAAAGCGCCTGATTGCGATGACAGCGCGGTAGAGAGTGAGCAAACGCACGTGATCTCCATTGACTGGTTTGCTCTTGTTTTTGGGAGTGTAGGCACTCCCAACACCTCCCCTCCAAGTGGGTCAGTACCGCTTTTGGCGTGGATTGATCTGCATCGGCAGTGTTGATCGGCGCACGCGGTTGGTCCGGCGTCTTAGTTGTGCTTTGTTGTCTGGAGACCCGGGGGCAGTGACTGATACCGAAGGCGGTACATCCGAAGGAGGCGCAGCAGTGGGTTCAGGAACCGACCGATCTGCCGGAATGGCGAAGGTATCCAGTAGGATGTCAAGGCGGAGTGACGGCGCCGGATCGAGCCCAGTTGTGTTACTGCAATGTCGCCGTCGGATCTGGTTGTGGTGACGAACCCAGATTTCACCACCAACGTCGACGTCAAACAACATACTGCCTCTGTGCGCTACCACGGTTGCTTCAATCCAGTCTGGGAACTCCACTCGATAATCACGGGCGAAGACAGGCGTTCCGATGGAGAGCTTGCTGCGAGAGACTGGAGAAGTCTGCGCGGGCTGCGCACCGGTAGGGACGAGGGCATGAAACGTTGTACGCAGTTTTCGGCCCATCAACGCTTCGGCAGGAGAAACGCCACCAGGGGACGCCGGGTTCGGTGTTGTCCTGTAGGAAAACAGGAATGCCTGGACTATCTCGTCCGTGGTCCCCTCCCCACGAGCTTTCAAGAGGGCTCTCTTAAACGTGTCGACAAAACGCTCCGCCTGACCGTTAGACTGAGGATGGTAGGGCGGGGAGCGAAGATGCTGGATGTTGTGCTGGCGGCAGAAATCCTCAAACAACGACGAAGTAAACTGAGAGCCATTATCTGAAACCAGGACTTCCGGTAAGCCATGTTGGCTAAAGATGCGTCGTAGGAAGGCGATAGTAGCAGATGCGGTCGCTGGATTCAGCGGAGCAATCTCAGGCCACTTCGAGTAGGCGTCAACCAAGATTAGGTAGGAGACTCCGTTAAGTGGGCCAGCGAAGTCGATGTGCACGCGTGACCAAGGCCTCTCTGGTGGTTCCCAGGGTACTGGCGGTTGACGAGGCGGCATCTTGGCCGCTTGCTGACATCGAGAACAGCGTCGAACCAGGTCGTCGATGTCGCCGTCGATACCCGGCCAGCAGGCAAAACTGCGAGCAATAGACTTCATTCGGCTGGTACCAGGATGAGCCGCATGGAACTGGCGTAGTACAGTGGGTCGGAGGGAAGATGGGATCACCACACGGTCTGCAAACATGAGGCAGGAGTCAACCACAGATAGCGATGCTCGGCGGAGGAAGAGCTGACGAAGATCACCAGCGAGAGCAGTGGCTGGCCAGCAGGTCCGCACGTAGGTGATGGCCTGGCGGAGGACAGGATCCTGTTCAGTAGCACGTCGGATGTCCGCGGCAGTGACAGGAATACCTCGTATGGCGTCTGATAACTGACGGCGCACATCGTCCTCAATCGAAATAGCTGCAATCACGGTATCTTCCTCCGGTTCCTGCTGATTGCTGATGAGGCGAGAAAGGGCGTCAGCCTGACCAAAGTCTGTAGTAAGACAGTAGCGAATGTCGAAATCGTAGCCAAGAAGGATGGTTGCCCATCGCTGAAGTCGGCTGGCTGAGTAGACGGGAATTCCCTTCTTCGAACCGAAGATTGACAGCAATGGTTTGTGATCCGTCAACAACGTGAAGTGGCGACCGTACAATAGTTTGTGAAATTTCTTGACAGCAAACACGAGGGCTAGAGCCTCTTTCTCTATTTGCCCATAGTTCTTCTCCGCAGGGGTTAGCGTGCGAGATGCATGCATGATCGCCTTTTCAGACCCATCAGGAAAAGTATGTGAGATGACGGCACCAACTCCGTGGTTGGAAGCATCTGCAGCAACAACGATCGGCAGCGTCGGGTCGTAGTGCGTGAGCAGCAGATCTGAACTCAGCATCGACTTTAGCTGGGCGAAGGCCTTTTCACAGTCGGGGGACCAGCACCAAGGAGCATCCTTCTGCAACAGACGGTTGAGCGGGGCCCGTACGTCATGTAGAGAAGGTAGGAAGGCGCTATAGTAGCTGATCAGGCCAAGGAACGAACGAAGTTGCGATACATTCTTGGGGGCAGGCATCCGTTGAATGGCCCGAATGTTTTCAGGATCTGGATGGCGACCATTGGCGTCAAAAACGAATCCAAGGTACTTGATGGAGTCGAGGAAGAATTGGCACTTCTCGGCCCGTAGGCGAAAGCCATATTCCTGCACGCGTTCGAGTACTGCGCACACTCGGTCTTGCAGCTCGGCAGGGGAGCGACCCACGATGATGATGTCGTCCAGGTACCCAGCTGTGTCAGGGATGCCGGAGAGCATTGCGTTCATCGTTTGTTGAAATAGGGCCGGGGCGGTCTTGACACCAAAGGGCAGCCTGGTGTATTGGAACAGACCGCGGTGGGTATTGATGGTCAACAATTCGCGCGACTCTGGGGCGACCTCGATCTGCAGATACGCAT